TTATCCATAATACAAATATTTTAAATAATTCATGCTTTAAGTTATATTTTAACTTATCTTATATCAACATTCGCCCTTACATCATTAATTTACAATTATTACATATTATTTAAAATTATTGATCTGATTACTATTTTTAAATTTGAAACTTTTTCTAATAAACGTTAAAAATAGTATGACACATTTACAAGTTTTGAACTAGAATATGAAGCCATCAAAATCATATTTATGATGGCGTTTATTATTTTCTATACAAGTTTGATTGGTTTTTAAGAAAGGTCAAAGTTGTACTTCCATAAATTCAATATATATTAAATTACAAAAATTGGAAATTATGATGAATGGATACTTTATGATGAAAGTTTTGGACCAAAGCAAAGAAATAAGTGAGAAAAATTATGTGAAAGTTCTCTACTCATAATTGTCGAGTATGAATTTTATTGCACCTCTCTCCATTTTCATTTCATATAAATACTTTCCCCTCCCCCCACCGTCTTCTCTCGCACTTTCATTATTATTCTTCTCAAAAAATTGTTTTCATAAAAGAAATCAAGATAACCGTCTAGGGAATTGTGTGTTTGTCGTTTCTTAAAATTGTCAAGTGAATAGAATTTAAAAATATATTTTGATTTTAAGTTCCTCCCATTTATTTTTATGATCATCTCCTTTTAGTTTTCACAAGGTTATTAGAAGAGGCTTGCAAGTCTCCAATGATATATAATCTAATCATATCGAAGAAACTAATGATGTCACTACTTATGACAAATTAAATGAGGTAAATTTTATATTTGTGATTTTGAATATTGTTGATGAATAAAAAATTAGGCATCATTTTCACGTTCTAATATTCACGTGTACGTACTTTAGTTTTTAAATTTGATTTATATCTTTCATTCGACACATAAGACGTGCAACGCACGTGCTTACTACTAATTAGTATAAAAGCGTAGATACCTTTTATAGTTAATGCGGTCATTATATTAATTCTTAAAAAATTAATACGTTTAACTAAAGTATATCATGATTAACATAGATGTATAAGACTAATTTAGATAAATAGGATCAATTTGAACTCGAGGTAAATTGGATAGGCTAGAAGAATTCGACTAAACACGACATTTGGTTAAGATTTTTGATTAGAGAATTAAAGGTGATCGATAAATGAAATTGTGTGCCATAATATCTCCTTCATATTCAAAAACCTAATTCGATTTTTGTGTACATTACCATACATTAAGTTAGTATGATTTAGATCAATAATCAAACTAAACTTTATTTTTTGTCAAATAAAAGTAAGAATAGTAAACTAGGAATAAATAATA